TTGTAGAAATATGTCTTAAAAAAGAAAAACATGTAAAAATAAAAAAGAGACAACCAGTTATTGTTTAAATAATCCTCATATGTGACAGTCAAACTCGCGGCACCACTGAAACATCACATGGTATATGTATTTGGTATAATTTCTATAAATCCTATAAATTGTCTCCTTGTGGATATAGCTGTTATATATGAATATAGAATACATTTAAATATTGAATACTTAAAAAAAATGAATATTTAAACATATACTCCAAACAATATGCTGCATGTATCATTCTGATTTTTTTTTATTGATTTTAATCAATCTGTATAATTAATATAGTGCATGTAGAAAGGGACCTCATGTGCATCCAAATTAATTAAATTGTCCTTGATTAAGAAATTCTTTTGAAAGTGAAGTGCATATTATGGTATGCTATGTAGGATATATGATGATGATCCTGTTTGATAAATTATTATCACAATTCTTGTTGTTTAAACTGCAGAATATTAAAACGTAATATTCATGAATTTCCTTTTTTGCATGTTTCAGGTGCACATGAAGTTGTTCAACCCGAGACGACAGTTGGACGCCCGAGTTTATCATACAACAGCGACTAAATAAATAATTATTCAAACGAAGACAGTCCTGTTACTTTGATACTATTGCTTGAATTGTTGACATTGTGCAAATATTTCGTTACAGCAAACTAAAATTATGGATTCGCTTCATGCAAAACTATTCTCATTTATTGAATTTAACTTGTAAATTAATTATGAGTGGGTCATAACGAAAAGCTCATACATTGTGTTTCTTTCAATCTTGATCAACAAGTGAAGACGGAAAGAGTGACGAAACGTACATACATGGAAAACGACTAGACGAAAATGTTAAAAGCATCATTCTGGCATTTGTTTATTGGAGCCAGTGTCACATTTCCTACACAATATATAGTACCGACTTGTAACCATTGTTGTACTGACGTCAGTATCCGACATTGGACCACCGATGTAATGACGTCGGCCCAACGTTACATTGCTGTAGCAGATGCGGTACCCGACATAAGACCAGCGATACTGGCGTTCGTCTAACGTTATATAACAAACGTGAACAGAACGTCGGGCCAACATCAGAATTAAGTGTTGGGCAAGCGTTGGTCCAGCGTTAACCGTCGTTAAACCAACGCTTAAATCCGACGTCGAGCCAACTTCACAACGGTGGACAAACGTATGTCGGCCCAACGTTGGTTTCCGTTGTCGGGCCAGCGTTTGGTGTCACGTTGGCCCAACGTTTGACCAACGTCTGACTGCTAGCTGGGATATATATATATCGCTCGCATTGATTAGTAACTCGCACATTGTTTATTAACTGTGAGAATGGATAAGTAGATATAGTGAGCATATGTTGGTTACTCCATCGTGTACACTGTTTACTACATCAATTGTTTGTATTGGTGACTCATACGCAGTGATTGACTAGCTCATGTGTGTTGATGGGTTACTTGTGAGCACGGATTAGTGTTTATATGTGACCATGCCCCAGATCCGGGGATCACTTACACAGTATGATTTACAGGACCACGTTATTTTCCTCTCTGTTATTTGTATTTTCAGATATAACATAAAAGTTAGTTTTGTGATACTGAAAACCTGCCAGTAGATGCAAACATATATATTCAATGTGCAAAATTTTATGAAATCTAGCGACAAAAAAAAAAAAGATATGATAAAATAAAAGCGTATTAGATTTCTTTGTTTAAAAAAAACCCAGGTTTTTAATGTAACGACCTTATGTTTTTGCCTGATAATGAACCCTGTATTAGTTTTAGAAAATAAAAACATTAAATAATGTTGACAACTATCACGGTGTTGATAAATATGTTTAAATCAATCAACTTCTCACATAACCCAAAATATCTATAAGTCATAATACGAAATATAAATGAGATGCCGTAAATATTGCCGTCGTTGACCTGGTATAGGATCACCTTCTGTACAAACACTGCATCCGATAATTCCACGGGTCTATCGTATCAATTATTGTATACATGGCCTTTATTTATCTGAATTGCATCTTAGCAAACATACATACAAGCCATATATAGTGTCTTCAGAAAGGAAATGTCGAATTTGAAACACCATGTCAAGTTCTATATTGCTTTAAGTCGGTTGACTTATCAGTTATAGCATATATACAAAACAATACAGAGACAACATACAATATGTTACACGCACACATACACATTCCTTAAGTTTCACAACTTATTGGATAACTATGATTTACAATAAATTACAAATGATATATACATATATGTATTCTGCAATCAACACTCATTATCACTCCCACATCATTATTGTCCATTCAACAATCAGAAACGCTCTCACATCATCACCATCATCAACATCGTCATCAGCATCATCATCATCATCATCAACATCATCATCATCATCATCTGACATTAACAACAACAACAACATGTAATCCGTAATGACACACATGTCAATAATACATACATAGACATTTATATAAATTATATTGATATGCATGTTTACGTGACTCGTGCCTTATTTGCCTCAAAACTATATCTAGCAAGTTTACGAAGATCTCTGATATTATCAACACTTAGTAACTGTACAAGTTTATACATTGAAGGATTTCGCCAGTAATATGGTTTTATGTATTTTACTCTCAGAAGTGCCTGCTTTTGGGATTTGGTCTAGTATCGCATCTCTTCAAGCTATACGTCTTTTTGCATGTTTTTTGTGGATGTGATGTTTTAAACATGAAACAAATCAACAAATGTTCTTAAGGGTTGAAAATGTGCAGTTTTTAGAACAAGAAACCGTTGAGAACATCTGTGACGGCCGCTTATTTATACCGCTATAGTTGTCTTTTTTTCCAGTTCAACGTCTTCAAATACATTATGTATACATAAGTGTATGGTCTTTTAAATATTATTTGTCATAAACCGGTCAATTAGAGTGTATTTAAACTGCAGAAAGTATGTATAATGTCTAAAGCATTTAAGCAAACGCTTACTATTATCTCATGATTCCTTTTCACACCCTTTGAGACACGAAATGTCGGCCTTATTAGGCCGAGTATCGGTTTTGTTATTTTTTGCTTTTTTTAAAATTGAAATTGAATATCGGAGTAGTCAAGGGTCACGCACATGATAGACTCCACTTTTGTTATAATAGAATAATAATATTTCGAGGTTCTTATATACCGCTTTATCACAACTTATTCGAAGGTCATCTGAAAGCGGTTCACAAATTATTATCCGTGGTTCAAGGGCCTTTGCAACCAGCCAATATCTTTCTCAACTCCCTTGGGAGCATACAACCGGTGCTGTCATTTCGGCGCTCACAGCTAGTATTCAACAATTCATACTACTAGACTACCGTGCCTCTAGTACAGTGAAATATATAGACGTTTGAAAAAATGTATTGATGTATTCGACGTGCACAGCCCCATGGTGTAACCATATTATATTCCAATAAACCTTCCCTTCACAACGATCTGTTCGCTTTATTTGCAACTTTAAGCCACTTCTGTGTATTTCTAACCCTCTTGCACCCCTCAACTTTATTTCCTGTAAGTTTTATGAAACAACAGTCAATGATTAAATATTATGATATAAATCAAATATTAATTCATAGTTTTTTTTTTAATATGAAAATATACTTTGATTTGTGTTACCTGTTACTTAATTGGCAGCTGTCTTTTGTATTATCTATGAAGTTCTCAATTTTCCGGAGAGTATACTATTGAATATGCTTTTGTTTTAGGGGCATGAAATATCTGCAGACATAGAAATATTATATGAAGCGGAAATAGTTTTTTGGTTTAGACATATTTTATTGTAATTTATATACAATGGGAGTTGGGCACAAGTTTAACAACTTATGTTATGTCCTTTCCCTACAATATATCGATACAAATTTTCAATATGGCATATTACATATATATTAACATTGGCTTAAATTGAAAGAATGACAGACAGAGAGAGACAGAGAGGTGGAGACAGAGAGTTGGAAAAGACCGACAAAGAGAGCGAGAGAGAGACACACACACACAAAGTATCCTTAGAATATCAGTCTAGTCTGAAGAGTGATAATATAACAAAACTGACTTTCGTTATGTATTTGGTAATAAATCTTTTCCCTTCTCCATGCAAACGGAACTAGTGATAGCCTATTCACTATTCTCAACTTTCTGCTATTCAAATATGGAACTAGTGAATTTTAAAGATGACAATACTTATTACATGTATACCACAGATATACAACAATAAGTACATGCGTCGTGTACAAAATTGATCAGCCAGGCATGATTTTATCAACGACAAAATCGATAAATAAATGCGTTAAAGATTATCTATAGATCTGAATAATTTATCGGCCAGCTTACCACGTAAACATCTCTTTACAATTCCGTGTACTGTGACGCTACAATCAACAAGGAAGTTTTGGTTTGTTTCGTGTAAAGCATGGTTAGAATACTAGCAGGTTTATGTTCACATTTACGTTAATGAGACGATTTTAAAAAATGTGAATTCTAAACAATGTTGCTTATAGTCATCTGAGACCTAGGAATACTAAATAGTTTAAACATTATAAACCATACATAATTGATATACGCTTATTTGAAATATTTATCTTAAAAAAAGAAATTTAATAGGTCACTATGCTAACAAGGCATCAGTACTCGGAATAATGACACCAACTTCAACGTTAGTCGTGTGTTAGAAGTTAAGTCAGCTTAACCAAATAATAAAATCATGTATTTATAGGTTTTTTTCTAATGAATTGGTGAAATGATATACGCTTTTAAAGTTTAAAATGATAGTTATTACAACACAAAATAAACATATTGTGTTTTCTAATTTGTAGACTATGAAAATAATAAATACACTGTATATAAATTCGAAAATTTGACTTTACATGTGAAGCATGACAATCCATAACTTGGCATGGCTTATAGAAGGTTAGGTATATTTAAAGGGTTTTTCTACACACACACAATACACAACGACTGTATATTGATAAACACTTGTAAATGACCTGTTTATTGGTTATATACAGGCTAGACAGAGATACATATGACAGACTGACATTGGATAATGGCAGGTAAGTTTTATTTTGTAAAACATACTTATAAGACCAACGTTGTGTAATTTATACAGGTTTTATGTTTAACCATCGTCTGAAGGAAAGTACCTGAATACCTGTGCTTTAATCGAGTATTGACTGTGATCATTGTTCATTGTATTTTTGTGGTGTATGTAATGTAATGGTATGTTTTTAACAAAGGAGCGGTTGTCTGAATTATCTACATCTATATTACATACAAGTTAACATACATTTTCTCAAAACATTTTTTTGTCATTTATTGTGTTGCTTTAGAAGGTATCGATAAATTCATAGCAACTTGTTTTCGTGCATTGTGTTATTGTAATAGTTGCTATTTTCTACACGTACTCGTTTCGTCTCGAACTGTGGGTAGGTCGATCTAAATATGTCACAGTAATTATGTGTTCATTGGAGCTTCCTACTTTAAAGTTTAGATAAACACCCAGGTTAAATGACACCCCCATATATGTACATGTACTGTCATCGTAGGGGTAAAGGGGTGAGGGATGGGTGGAAGGGTAAATTGGAGTGGGGGAAAGGAGAGGGGGCAGGTTTTCAATATATTTGTATCTTCGTCTAAAACGTCTAATAATACTATCTTCACACTGAGATATGTCCCAATTAGCATGACCCTGTGGTCCTTAAACTCAGACACACAGATGTTAGTCAGAGTACATGACTTACAAAAGCCACTTGCTGTTAACTAATAAATATTCAAACAGGTAAAAACATATTCAAGGATTAGGAGATTGTGGACATTGTATATTTGAGATCACAGTGTACAGTTAATGTTTGTATATAAAATTAAACCAGTCCTTGTGTTACATTTAAAGTATAGCGTGGAAAAAGCAAAAAGACGATAAAGTCACCTACAGACCCCTCAGAATAAAATAAATTTAAGTAAATATGTCGAAATTTCAAATAAGTAAAGTAAATATCTCGTTTTTTCGAAATGTAATCTCGTAACTTCTAACAAGTTTTCAGTAAAAATGAATTATTATCATGTTCTGTCGAGTTTTCGTATCATGCACACATAGGGAGGTATCAGCCAGGTGGCATAGGGCTAGACGTAAGCGTCTGATAATGCAGCTCCTACGAATTCCCCAATATTGTATTGATTAATGTATATGCTAATTGTATGAATTGTATATCTATGTACTATAAAGCGTTTTAGAGTGGCTTTTGTTAGCTAGATATGGTGCTATATCAAATGTTGTATAATATAATATAATATAATATAATATTTATCAATCTCTTTACGACGGCACATGATGAGATTTAATGACACAAGTTTAATAGGACTCACACAACTAAACTATTTACTATTTGTTATTAATAAGCTTTTGAGCTAATAGCTTTAATATTTGAAGTTCAACACTAGTGAAAACTGTCTAGATTCATAGATACATACCTGACAAAGGCTTCAAAAGGACTTTTGTGACAGGTTTAATGACATATAAGAACGCTAAACGTTTGATGCTGCTTTTGACAACCGGAAGTTCAGAAGCCAAACCAATAAAGCGGGACGGGAACATCCCCTACATTTTTACCCCTATATAAATCCACAATCACATATTTAAGTATGCTAAAACTATACATGTTTCCAAAGTTAAGTACCTGTTCATTCCTTTCAAGAAAACACCATTTGCTGTCGACTCAAAACAAGTTAAATCATATGAAAGGAAGATATGCAGGAAGACATTGGTTATTTGAGCTGACATTGTATAGCTTATAAATGCATAACTAAAATTAGACCACTATTTGAGTATCAGTTTTAAGTAAAGCGTGACGATAAATTACATAACTAACAGACCCTTCAGAATATTTAAAATAAATTCGAGAAAATGTCAAAATTTCAAGTAAGCCAAGTTAGCATCACGTTATTTCGAAATATTATCACGTGATCTCGATTCAGCTGTTACTGTTACACTGTTGCATACTTTATAGATATTGTATGATATATACATATTTCGAGGATCAAACCAACCTTCTAGTATCATCCACAAAATGATGCGGTTTCGTCATGACATTTTCTTGTTATATTTTGCTTCAATGCATTCTTTGTTATTACTTGTGTAGCGATGTCTGTTTTACAGGCAAATCCCTACAGAACTCCAAAGGAGTTTTCCATGTAGATTATATCTTCCCATTAAGTTTATTTTGAATATAACTATAGTCGTAATGGGGCAGGTAACTGTCGCTTAACAGGTAACTCAGTTCTTAAAGCGACAGTGTTGTGGTCGGAGTTCTCAGGTTCGAATCCCGGCCTGGCTCCATTGCATTTTTTTCTTTAAGAATGCCGTTATTGATTTTTTCTTATTTTTTTGTTGCCTTTCGGAATGTTTTTCTTATTCCATCTTTATCATTTATACAAAACAATTCCGAAAGGCATGCGTTTCTTTTCATGAAGGGTTAATGCAATTTTTGTCGGGAATGTGAAATTGTTTTAAATTCATAGTTACATCTTTTGACAGTAGAACGGGGATCCTTACAACAGATTGGGTTTGACGGCGTTAACATGGGTGCTAAAGTGATATATATTGAGTTTTTTCTAATTAATTGTTTTATACCTAAGCATGACGGCAATTCAATACATACACAAGTTCCTCGATACCAAACACATGTCAATACAGTTTACAATTCATTATCGCCAGTGATCAAACAATATGACTGTAGTCTGTTTATTGTTTTTTCTAGAAAGGTCACGACATAATTTGCAGCGCCCGCCATTGATAAAGTCAAGAACTGGAATAGAGAGTAAGTATGTCATTTTACAAACCATCGTGTATTGTATTGTAATAATTATGATAATTCGAGGTTCTTATATACCGCTTTATCACAACCTAGTTCATAGGTAGTCTCAAAGCGGTTCACAAATTATTATCCGTGGTTATAGGGTCTTTGCAACCAGTCAATACCTTTCTCAACTCCCTGGGGAGCATATAGACGGAGCTGCCCTTTCGGCGCTGACAGCTAGCATTCAACAATTCTAGCACTGCCCAACCAAGTACTCATTTACAGCTGAGTAGTAAAATGTACATGTAGTAACATTGCAAGAAGCCTTATCATATGACGAGAGGGCATGCATTACTCCTCATTTCGTGTGTGTTGGGATTTAAACGTCCTTGCAACAGCTGAGGCATTAGCAGACGTTGTTGACGACGGGTAATTTGGCTATTCAAATGCTATTTTATAATGTTATCTCATTGAAATGCCATACCATGGACCCTAGACCGGCCCCGTCTCCGGAATATTATAAAGATATTAAATTATTTAGAAAAAGAATCAACTCTAATATTTTTGATCAATTGGATGTCTGATTCCTAAGTTCTAAACTAGGGGGCGATAAGATAGTAGTAAAATGCAGTTGAAAAAATCTTCATAAAAGCTTAAGGGCTGGTAGCCAGTCTACCTGGACCCGCTAGTTTGACAATTCACATTATGGTGACAACAGTTGACTCGTCAGTCCCTACCGGTACAAAGCAAAGGGTAGAAAGTACCAAATTTCAGGACTTTCTTTGGCCTCGGTCAGGGAACAGAACCACTACCCTTTCTCGATTGGACGAAAATCAAGGTCAAAAGAGGTGAAAAACTAGTCTTCCTTGTATTTATTTTAGTAACCCTATGCTATTGCGATCATAGAGATTTATAACACTAATAGATGATATGCTGACTCCTTTTTTAATATTTTCGTTTTATTAAAATGCCAACAATATATGTAGTATTGACAAAGGCATGTTTATTATCTGATAAATGAACATGAATGAATAAATCCGTTCCCTTTACGTCTGATGTTAATGAAAGATGAACACAGACACGCATGTAATTGCACCTTAAACATTTGGCTATAGATACAGTATGGTAATAGATAGAGTATTGTTATATATACAGTATGGTTATATATACAGTATGATAATACGTACAGTATGGTAATAGATACAGTATGGTAATAGATACAGTATGGTAATAGATACAGTATGGTGATAGATACAGTATGGTTATAGATACAGTATGGTAATAGATTCAGTATGGTGATAGATACAGTATGGTAATGGATACAGTATGGTAATAGATACAGTATGGTAATATGTACAGTATGGTAATGGATATAGTATGGTAATAGATACAGTGTGGTAATATATATAGTATGGTAATAGATATAGTATGGTAATATGTACAGTGTGGTAATAGATACAGTAGGGTAATAGGTACAGTATGGTAATAGATACAGTATGGTAATAGCTACAGTATGGTAATATTTACAGTATGGTAATAGGTACAGTATGGGAATAGGTACAGTATGGTAATAGATACAGTATGGTAATAGGTACAGTATGGTAATAGGTACAGTATGGTAATAGGTACAGTATGATATTAGATATATTATGGTAATAGGTACAGTATGGTAATAGATATAGTATGGTAATCGATATAGCATGGTAATATGTACAGTATGGTAATAGGAACAGTATGGTAATAGGTATAGTATGGTAATGGATATAGTATGGTAATATGTACAGTATGGTAATGGATATAGTATGGTAATAGATACAGTATGGTAATAGTTACAGTATGGTAATAGATAGAGTATGATAATAGATACAGTATGGTAATAGGTACAGTTTGGTAATAGATACAGTAGGGTAATAGATACAGTAGGGTAATAGATACAGTATGGTAATATGTACAGTATGGTAATAGGAACAGTATGGTAATAGGTATAGTATAGTAATGGATATAGTATGGTAATAGATACAGTGTGGTAATATATATAGTATGGTAATAGATATAGCATGGTAATATGTACAGTATGGTAATAGGAACAGTATGGTAATAGGTATAGTATAGTAATGGATATAGTATGGTAATAGATACAGTGTGGTAATATATAGAGTATGGTAATAGATATAGTATGGTAATATGTACAGTATGGTAATAGGAACAGTATGGTAATAGATACAGTAAGGTAATAGATACAGTATGGTAATAGTTACAGTATGGTAATAGATAGAGTATGATAATAGATACAGTATGGCAATGGGTACAGTATGGTAATACTGTACCTTATGGTAATATGCATAGTATGGTAATAGATACAGTATGGTTATAGGTACAGTATGGTAATAGATACAGGATGGTAATATGTACAGTATGGTAATAGGAACAGTATGGTAATAGGTATAGTATGGTAATAGGTACAGTATGATATTAGATATATTATGGTAATAGGTACAGTATGGTTATAGATACAGTAGGGTAATAGATACAGTATGGTAATATATACAGTATGATAATAGATACAGTATGGTAATAGAGTATGGTAATAGATACAGTATGGTAATATGTACAGTATGGTAATAGATACAGTATGGTAATATGTACAGTATGATAATAGATACAGTATGGTAATAGGTACAGTATGGTAATAGATACAGTATGGTAATAGGTACAGTATGGTAATGGATACAGTAGGGTAATATGTACAGTATGGAAATGGATACAGTTTGGTAATATATACAGTATGGTTATAGATACAGTATGGTAATAGGTTAAGTATGGTAATAGTTACAGTATGGTAATAGATACAGTAGGGTAATAGATACAGTAGGGTAATAGGTACAGTATGGTAATAGGCATAGTATGGTAATAGATACAGTATAGAAAAAGGTACGGTATGGTAATGGATACAGTATGGTTAGTGATACAGTAGGGTAATAGGTTAAGTATGGTAATAGATACAGTATGGTAATAGATACAGTATGGTAATAGATACAGTATGGTAATATGTACAGTATGGTAATGGATATAGTATGGTAATATGTACAGTGTGGTGATAGATACAGTTTGGTAATAGATACAGTATGGTAATAGGTAGAGTATGGTAATATATACAGTAGGGTAATAGATATAGTATTGTAATAGATACAGTATGGTAATAGATACAGTATGGTAATAGATACAGTCTGGTAATAGATACAGTATGGTAATAGAGTATGGTAATAGATACAGTATGCTAATAGATACAGTCTGGTAATAGATACAGTATGGTAAAAGAGTATGGTAATAGATACAGTATGCTAATAGATACAGTATGGTAATAGATACAGTATGGTAATAAGTACAGTATGGTAATATATACAGTATGGTAATAGACATTGTAGGGTTATAGATACAGTATGGTACAATAGATACAGTGTGGTTATAGGTACAGTATTGTAATAAATACAGTATGGTAATAGATAGAGTATGGTAATAGGTACAATATGGTAATAGATACAGTATGGTATTAGTTACAGTATGGTAATAGATAGAGTATGATAATAGATACAGTATGGTAATAGGTACAGTATGGTAATACTGTACCTTATGGTAATAGGTATAGTATGGTAATAGATACAGTATGGTAATAGATACAGTATGGTAATAGATACAGTAGGGTAATAGGTACAGTATGGTAATAGATACAGTATGGTAATAGATACAGTATGGTAATAGGTACAGTATGGTAATATATACAGTATGGTAATAGATAGAGTAGGGTTATAGATACAGTATGGTACAATAGATACAGTGTGGTTATAGGTAGAGTATCATAATAAATACAGTATGGTAATAGGTACAGTATGGTAAAGGATACAGTATGGTAATAGGTACAGTATGGTAATGGATACAGTAGGGTAATAGGTACAGTATGGAAATGGATACAGTTTGGTAATATATACAGTATGGTTATAGATACAGTATGGTGATCGGTTAAGTATGGTAATAGATACAGTATGGTAATAGATACAGTAGGGTAATAGATACAGTAGGGTAATAGGTACAGTATGGTAATAGGTATAGTATGGTAATAGATACAGTATAGAAAAAGGTACGGTATGGTAATGGATACAGTATGGTTATAGATACAGTAGGGTAATAGGTTAAGTATGGTAATAGATACTGTATGGTAATAGATACAGTAGGGTAATAGATACAGTAGGGTAATAGGTACAGTATGGTAATAGGTATGGTATGGTAATAGATACAGTATAGAAAAAGGTACGGTATGGTAATGGATACAGTATGGTAATAGATACAGTAGGGTAATAGATACAGTATGGTAATAGTTACCATATATACAGTATGGTAATATATACAGTAGGGTAATATATACAGTATGGTTATAGATACAGTAGGGTAATATATACACTAGGGTAATAGATACAGTATGGTTATAGATACAGTATGGTAATAGATACAGTATGGTTATAGATAAAGTTAGTAAAAATTGCACTACATCATACTAGAACTCATCGGTGATATATACAAATAGATAACTGTGATCATCAACGTTACAACAAACCACTAACACTAAAGAATCCACTAGCAGTCTACAATCGCTATAAAGGATGTTTAAGATCGATATATTTGTGCACCTGTAGCGCTTTTTTGTTCTCCCTTTTTTCATTAATTTCGCCATATCTGTCATTCCTTTTTCTTTTTTCTTATTGATCTGTCATTTATGTTAACAGCTTCCAGAACATTAGATGGCGCATTAAGTAAAGAAAGAGGATGTTTAACAATAGGGCCAAATACAGTCCCGTATGGTAAGTTATTTTCACGAATCAGGCAATATTGAAATATTACGATATTTTTATTTTTATTTTGTTGTTGTTAAAGTTTTTGTTTTATAGAATATTGTTAGTCTCAAACAAACGGTAAAACAATGGCAAACTATAAATAAAGAACATATCTTAAATGAGACCATTGAAAAAGCAGAATAAGACCAGGCGTTCCGGAAAGCTAAGCGTCTTCTGATACATTGATGACACTTATCATGTTAATCTAATTTTATCCAAGCATTGTCACGTTCTCCCATTGACATCTCGAGTATTGAAAATAACACTACGAGGCATAAAAGTAGTACACATGAAATCAATGGATTTATATTGCTTGTATATTGATATTTTGCAACATGTAGATTATTACATTGAATATTGTTGTTTTTCTGTAATTGCACTGTCTTAAGATCTAAGTCCTTCTGTTTTCACTTTTAAGACTTCACCAATAACTAATGTGACATAGAGTATTCACTGCATCATGGAACTGTAGGTTTTGATAAAAATAAACGTTTTGTAAATTTATCTTCACCAATTAAAATCGTGATAGTTCTATTTTTGACAATTAGCCTGTTCATGTGATTGATGATGATTTATTGCTCTTGTCATTAATTTTGATTTTTGTCCTTGATTTGAGAAAATAAGTTGCCTTAATACAGCTTCTGTCTGTCGAATAGTACTTAAAATGAAACCTGGTAGGGCATAAAAGAGGTAGACTATTCAAAGCATCATCAGCAATCCCCTTACAATCATTATAACACTTCCTGACGTAAGTGAAAGGACTGAAAGAGGTTACCAAGAGTCACTGACAATGAAGTTCGAAGCTGTAGACAGAGAACCAGTAAATACAATTTCAGTATTTGATATCCTCCTTCCAGGTGGTGGTAAAAGGCGTTATAAGACAGAAACGAGAATCATCCTGGTTGGAAAGACAGGATCAGGAAAAAGCTGCACGGGAAACACACTTCTGGGAAAGCATGCCTTTACGAGTGAATCGGGTTCTCAGTCTGTCACTAAAAAATGTGAATATTCTAGTTGCAAGTACGAAGGGAGGAATGTTGTAGTCATTGACACTCCCGGGTTGTTCGATACTGATATGTCAGAGGAGGAGGCAAAAAACGAGATAGTAAAATGCATTGCATTAGCATCGCCTGGTCCTCATGCTATTCTTGTGGTGATTCCTGCCAACGTTCGCTATACCAATGAGTGTCACGAAACCATCGATCGCTACCTGGAGTTGTTTGGTCCTAAGGTTATAGATTACATTTTACCTGTTTTCACTAAAAGTGATCAATTTCAAAACGATCTTACAACCACGAATATGTTTTTGAAGAAAATTGATCCTAAACTAAAGAGCCTCTTAGACAAAAATGCCAACCGGCATGTATTTGTAAACAATCGGTCAGGAAACATGGACAATGAAAGACAAAAATTGTTTACAGCCATCGAGAGAATCGTTGAGCATTACAATGAAAAATGCTTTACAAATAAACAATTCGTCATTGTGGAGAAGGAACTAAACAGAATAGAAACGGAACAACAACCCCAGTACACTGACATACAAGCGGATTCTGTTTTAAAAGGCTCAGACGTTCTCCCTCCGTCTCCAACACCGAGTAATACAGTGCCAAGAGGGGATGATGAATCAGCAACCTCTAGCGGAGAGTCAAGGGAGAGAATGGAATCAGCCACCTCTATCGGAGAGTCAGGGGAAAGGATGGAATCAGCGACCTCTAGCGGAAAGTCAAGGGAAAGGATGGAATCAGCGACCTCTAGCGGAAAGTCAAGGGAGAGAATAGAAACAGAAACCTCTGACCGAGCGTCTACGCGACAGAGCATCACTGACGACAGTGGATTTCTTGGCCGCTTATCGCAGCTTTTTAGCGATTTCTTTAATTCCTTCTTTGAACTGCTGAGAGGAAAAAAAACATGAATACCGCCCAAACGAATAATGCCGTTGGTATATTTGTTTTGGCGATGTGATTATTTGTGCAAATAGGTTTGCTCTTTTGGCAGAAAGGAACCTGTGATGCATTGCGTGTTTATTGTATCGTGTTCTAAAACATACGGTTTAGATGACGATTGTTTTTTGTTTTTTGTTTTTAGATTGTAGCAATGAACAGTACTTTGAAGTGTTTAATAGTGTCTCATGATCAATCTGGACGTCACACAATGCATCACTTTGTGAAGTAATATTTTGCTTCATTATAACAGAACTGACGCTATACTCAAAATGAGGAAACTGTAGGAATAATAAAAATTCAACGAAGATGAACGTAACACACGCACAGGTGATTGAACCTTTAGAATTTGATAATAGATATAGTGTGGTCAAAATGAATAACACTGCATCCTATAGCTAAAATGTACAGGCTTTTGTTTGCATACTGAAAAGTCGTCAGCACAACTGCTGTCAGACGAGATCTCATTGAATAACACTGCATCATATAGCTTAAATGTACAGGATTTTCTTTTGCATACTGAAAAGGGGTCTGGACAACTACTGTCAGACGAGATCTCTACGAATGTCTTAAAGCTGCTTGTATACAGTAGCGTTAACATACTAGAACACTATTTTCTTTTAAATCATCTCTGTAAAAATAAACAACAGTTATTGAAGGTCATGCAACAAAGGGAGAGATATCTCATCTAATGACAAAATGGGGAAAAAATCAGGAAATTCGCTCATTTTCAAACCACAGATACATCGACTCACGCCAACTTTTTTTTCATCATGCAAAAGATCACGTAACATTGAATTATTTATCTTTGAAATTAGGAACTTGGATTAAGTTCAAACCCTGAGTTCGAGCATGAGAGTGTTTTCATATATACGGGTCATATTTTGCACGTTTCGAGTAATATCTACTTTTGATTTCATGTTTCCTCTTCGCGAAACCACAAGATCTTGGAGAGTTAAAGCGTGCCGCCGTCACATTTGTTTGTCGAGATTTTGGAGTCGATTACAACGTTTTAATCTGATAGCACTTTATCAAAGCAAACTGGTACACAACAAAACTAATAACACAATGTCGATATATTTAAACCACGGGTCACGTGCAGAATGCTCTATGAACGAAATGCTGTACAAAGATTGTTTAAAGACATCGTTAAGATAGTTTTTTCTTGATGTTTTGTCATTTCAAAATATATTGATTTTTTGTTCATATTTTACCTTCATTTGTTTTTTGATTTAACAGTTATCTTTTTCTGGCTGTTGTTGGGATTTTTCATGCAGGTACAATATTTTCCAATGCTTAAGGTTCGGTTTTGGGGAGTGTTTCGGGATCCTTAAACGTGCTTTGAACTTCATAGTAAATTGAAAAGTATATGTAACATCTGTTTTGTTTTTTCTAATTATTATTTCTCAGACAGATTCTTTGTTTGTGCTTTTTTTAGTGTGACTATTGTTAAACATTTAAGCAAAGTACAAACATTTGGCTGACATTGTGCTATTACTGCTTCTTGTGTCACATGAAAACTGAATGGCAATGCGCGTCATATTATTAGCTCTGCCAAACCGTGGCAGTTTATTTGCTTATATTTTCTTTATTTTTTAAGTTTAAAAGAAACAACCGATTCAAATATAAGCAAATACTTTTTTTAATGACTCTCCCTTTTTTCTGCATTTAGATCAGACCAATTTGTAAATTCAAGAACAATGAACTCAACTTCTTACTGAAATTTAGTCAAAAATTCAACATAGAAATCCGCTTTTTAATGACATTATTGTCATGGAACGTTAAATAGACTATTTAATCATGACCTATTTATTGATGCGGTCTTTTGTGTTTTTACATGTTCCGTTTTTTAAGCTTTATTTTCTTGACAACAATCGCATAGACATGTTTTTCAGCTCATTTCATTCCCACTTGCTTGTCCGGATTGTACCACCCCTTCATTTGTCTCCATTTTGAATATCCTGTATTTTAGCTTGATCTAGTTTACAACAATTGTATATACAAGCTTTTGCAGCTCATTTTAATCTCTCTTGTTTGTCCGGATGGAAGCACTTCTTCATTTGTCCACATTGTACGTGTCCTGGTTTATTAACTTTTAAAATTTAAAACAATTCTGAAACAAGATTGATTTTATTTATTTTAATCGCTTTTTTTTTAATACGAAAGGAAACTGTCCCTCATTTGTATATATTTTTCATGTCCTGTTTAATAAAGCTTTTCTTTTTACAACAATTATAGATACGAGTTTTCTCATCTTATTTGAATCACCCTTGGGTATCCGAATGTAAGCCTTCCGAGGTCATACCGGAGCACGTCCAGATGTCTTACAAAGGGTAACTTTTGCTGCAGCCTTATATAGTACAGTTGTTGTTGTAAGTAAATTTCTACTGACACAACAGGGCATGCATCCTCGATATCAAGGGGTTACGCTCACGTACGCTCTCTACACACCTGGAATATGTCATAGCAAAATTGAAGGCACAAAGATACCTGTTTGATGTGTCTCAGGTAAAATAACATGACCAATTGCTAGCCTGATACCTGAGATTACAAAGGAGCGACGACCGACTTCAAAGTCAATCACTTTTTACCGCTATGCGACCGCGAGATTCTTTTGATGTACATCATAGGATCGAACTAGTCTTCTTGCCTCATCAACAAGGTGGTGCACACTGAGCCTTCAATTTTCCCATGAACTATTTCACGGGTTTAGAGAGCCTAAGTGAGCGTAACCCCTGGATATCTAGGATGTGAGCGAAAGTGAGCGTAACCCCTGGATATCTAGGATGTGAGCGAAAGTGAGTGTAACCCCGTATATTGAGTATAAGGAAATGTATTATTCAAACTGTATTGGCTTCCTTATACAACGTATGTGTGACTGATGACTATGAAAGCTGATGAATAAAAACAATGACAGGACTTTAAATATGATCACACTTTAGAGTATTGTTTGCTCCTAGATGACCTGCCTTACATAATATTTTGGTGCCTACTTTATTTGTTTTTGGCAATTTTTAAGAAAACACTAAAAAAAGTCCCGATCACTCTGCTATATGAACCGGATACAAGATTGAAAAACATGTAGCTTTTCCATGTGCGTTCTTATATCAAAATAAAGCCGATACACCACCTTCGAACGATTTGTTATTTGTTGTGTTGTAATTAACATTCTGACTATATTTAATAGGATTTAATAGGATATTAGTGGACGCAGGCATTGCTGCCTCTATATCCACATCAATATAGTTTGAAATTCATTGTTGTAAACATAAAATAAGCCTATGTATAAGGCGCTGTATGATCGTACTTTAACTCAAGATCTTTCAAGAATTCGTTGTCCCCAGAGTCAAATACGTTACGAGATGAAAGAACATCTTGTGGGAGACTATACCAGATATCAATTATTCTTTGAGTAAAGTAATGTTTTCTAATATTTAAATGACAATATTGTTTGAGCATTTTTTTACTATGTCTATGAGTCTTTCCTTGAGCAGTCAGATCGAACAATCTCTCCAGAAAATTCGGATCATATAGTGCATTCATAAACTTGAACACGTTGATCATATCTCCGCGCACGCGCCTGTATGTTAGAGTTAGAAGCTTGAATCGGCATAGTATCTCGATGTAGCTAATTGTCTTAAATCTGGGGAGTAATTTTGTAGATCTTTTTGAACGTTCTCTATCCTTTCTATGTCCTTAATTTTGACAATCTTGTTATCTTCCCTTGAATAGATTTCGTTTGAATAACGTTTTGACTACAGAGATGTGTCCCTTGCGTTGAAAATCTCCAATCGCGAAAGTGTGGTAAAAAACAACCTGTCGTAACGATGTAAACAACAATCATGGCCGACACGCAAGCCCGACATAACAACGATCGTTTTCAATGTAAACTAAACGAATTAACTGACAAAAATAACAACAACGATGTCCAATATCAACTGCTAGACCACGACTATAAGACGAAACAAAGTGACGATCGTTCACACATTGAAGAGACGCTGAGTACTGATGCCCCTACTACTGACAATTTGCCTGATAAACCGATCCCTCCAGCACTAGTGTTTTTAACCTGGTCGCAAGGTAGACGAGTGGTCGAACTCGCGGTGTTATCTGAATGCCTGGACCAGAAAGGTTGTAAGGAATGCGGTACTAGGCTACGGTTGTTTCAATACCCAACAGGAAAGACAAACAGTGTTATTTTTACAATGTGATATTTTTATACCACAATATCGTATGTTGTTATCTTTACGTAATGTAAAAGTTTATTATTGCTATATTAAGTGTGATATTTTGTATATCACAATATGGTATGTTGTTTTCTGTAAAAAATGTGAAAGTTTATTATTGTTTTGTTCATAATGTAAATGTTTATTATTGTTGTATAGTGTGATTCTTTATATCAAAACATATTATGTTATTTGTACAGTATGTAGAAATTTATTATTGTTGTGTAAAGTACAGTCGAACTTCGTTATCTCGAAGTCGACGGGGTCGTGGGAAAACTTCGAGCTATCCGAGTATTCGAGTTATGCGGGTTCATAGATTTTGTATGAAATTTGCTGTTGGGACGTAGCACTAGCAGTGGTTTTATTAATGGTTAATGCTTTTAATCAATCGATAAATGATATACGTAATCAAAATAACAAATACAGCTATGTAATTTTACAATAAACACGCTTACAAAAATAGAGTAAGTTATTTCAGAAAAACGTACTTTCGTTTTTAAACGCGATCAAAATGGTTGGACCATTTTGTGAATTCGTTATTAAATATGGACGGGCCTAGTGATTAAATGTTGTTTTTGGCTAGTATAGATCTTGGCAAATCTTTCCAGGTCTGCATTTGTATTTGTAAGTCCGTCAAGTTTTACTTCTGAAGTGTTACATGTCAAACCGAACTATCCCGCTGTCTCTGATCTCGTAGTTTACAATGCGGAAATGAAAGTGCGCAAGTCTAAAACAAATCACTGTAATGGAGCGTACGCATAGTTGATTCTGTAAATGAAAACAGACAAACAAATTATATCGTACATGTGACACATTGATTCATTAAAGCCAAATATGACACCTGACACCTCCTCAACTCGATGTAATCAACAGCAATTATCGTTTTGTGCAACTTTGTTATTGTTGTTCATTGTGACATTTTTGCTATGACACAATAAAGTGCATTGTTTGTTATAATGTTATTCATACACAAAAATGTGCAATTTGTTTGATATTGGTTATTACATTTAAATTAATTTTATTGGTTGGTAATGCCTACTATATTATATTTGTATACAAAAAGTGCTATATTGTATGTTGTAAATTGTATTTATGACTTTTTGGGATTTAGAATTATAATTGGTAATNTGTAAATTGTATATATGACTTTTTGGGATTTAGAATTATAATTGGTAATATGTAAGAGTTGTCTCTCTTTTTTGTTTATTTTTTTTGTATCTTTATATTTTTTTGTAGAATAAGTAAGTCCGCAAGATATTTATTTTTTGTCACTTATATTTTCTTTTCGTTATCCTTAACGTGTTGCATTGGCACTCGGAATTTTATTGATTCATGCAATTGGCATTTTTGTTTATTTTAGTATTATTGTTAAAAAAAATACTCAGTTTTATTGTGTTTTGTTCATCAATATTGACATTGTTATTATTTTTTATTTGTTATATTTCTAATAAACCATTGTTGCATCGAATAATATATATGTTGTTTCATTTTGTTCAATTAACAAAAAAATCAACAACAACAAAAAATTCCCAAAAAATCTGAAGAAACTCATAAATGCCTCATTACATTTTTAGGCGGAGGGATGGGGATCCTTAAGGTCAGTAGAAATATCATTAATAATAAGCCATGTGTCAGTGAAGAATAATATGATAAAACTACCTAATTCAGTATAAAGAATATCCTTCTTTCGTTTAAGACTTTGAACATGGAGATGAACATATGAATATTGTTGTCGGTACCAACAAAAACAAGACGGTCGCTGATATATTTCAGAACAGGGACGAGTCAGATGCACTCGCAGACAAGGGACATGGATTTAATGTAACGTTACCAGATAACTTCGGATGACAGTGCTTAATGTATATATATACGATTATGAGTATGTGTACCACACTATAAATAAAATTGTAAGGTGAGTTACTTCGACGACATAAATCAACGAAGATAAATAATTAATTTAGCATATAATCGATAAGTTGAAATTACTATTTATAAAATATTTCACAAGTATCGTAGTCTGGAACTCCGTCAGTACGCCAGCTGTTAGTCTCGTTCAACCAGACTCTTGTTGTCTGCGCAAATTACAACGTGATCAAGCGTCTGGTTGAACGAGAATAGCCAGCTGTTAATCTTCAGTTTAATCGATTAGTTGCGATTGACATATGCATAAAAGATCAGTGTGATAGTGAATGTCTATCAGCTGTGGAGTAGTTTGAACATTGTTAGCGAAGCAATCCTGATGTTCTCTATTACTCATGTCGTTCGGAATTCCCGTGAGATCTACTGTGACGTTATTATCTATCCACAGCCATTGTCCTTCTGTCAGGATATCGGTACTATCCACGAACGCGCATGAAAATAAAAAAATAAGTTTCTTTAAAAAAGCAAAAAAAAATATACCTTTGTGATGAAGTCATAACGGTTGTATCTCTCCGTTTCGTCAACTATCATTAAAATTCCCATATATTGCTACAGAAAGATTTTTTTATTTTCCTTTCCGACATATGTGACTCTTTAGATTTAACACTTTAAAACAAAAAAGAGAAAATGGAAATGTCAATAAAACAGTTGTTCATACTCAAAATCGAAAAAAATAGGTCAAATATGGACAATGGAAAGATGTACACGCAGTACAAAAGTACAAAAAAATGAGATCAATTGTTCCGGAAGTGTGAGCGTCTTCTGTTCACCAGCAATGTAAATCTAGATCAAGTCCAAGTAATGTCACGTCCTTATTGGGACAACCGGAGTAGTGACAAGTAACACCGACCTTTAATAAGTAATAAATCCATTCGTATTTATAATATTATAAGACTCTGCCATGCCCAAGGGTGTAGGATAGGGAAACACAGGGGTTTTCAAATTTGGTAAAACCCGAGTCTGTGCCTAGGGTTTTGCCGAATTTGAAAATCCCGAGGATGGAATTTCCCTATCCTACACCCTTTGGCATAAAAGAGTATTTTTCTCTCATTCCAACCACCAGAATAAGCTCAGAGACCATGAAAATGCGTTTGGACTGGCCACCATTTTGAAAATACATGTATCAATTTCCCCCCTGAACTTTTTAGACGTAAACGAATTAGCCAGCCAGATTTAGCACATCCCATATTTGCAAGATTGTTTGCGCATGAAAATTAATCACATCTTTCTAACGTTTACGGTTAAAATATCGTAAAAGGTTTTATTTTAATCACGTCGCCTTTTCTGCATTGCAGCACGTTATTGTTGAGCTATAGAGACGTCAGGTCACGTGAAATGGGGTGTAAGATAGATATGTCTAGCACCTCAGACAGAGATATCCGACGTCATACCCCATGCTAGATTTTTCTATCTCGTCCGATCTGTTTGTTCCTTTACGTGACATTTCGAGGAATTTTTACACT